ACACACACTATATATATATATATATATATATATATAAGTGATTTATTATTATTAGGGCTTCAAGTTAATGTTAATTTAATGTTAATGCTAAAAAAAAGTGCATATAGCTGCTAATTGTATTTGTTGTTTGTTGATTTTCAAATATAAAAGTTATTGAAATGTTTTCAGTGTGTGTATCAATTCTTTTTGAACATTTTCATCTTAATTTTAACAAAACCGTGATAGTACTGATAATCGTGATAACTTTGGTCACTATAATCGTGATATGAAATTTTCATACCGTTACATCCCTAATCACACTATGAGAATGGTGTGATGTCACTGTGATCACCGCATGATCTCACGTGTTTACTGGGTAATGTATGATAAAATTACAACTTTTTAATTTAAATGTTTTAGCAAATGTAAAATGTAAACATTATTATTAATACATGTATTTTAGTAAAAGTAGTTTGATAGTACATTGTTAGTTCATGTTAACTAAGCAGCAAATTTTAATAAATTGAACTTTTTTTTTGTAAAATGTTATCTTTTTATAGAGTAACTTTGTAAATAATTTTGAATTCATATATTTAAGCTTTTCAAAATATTTTTGTGCATTTAGTCCACTACATTAAACAACAATCTCACTTCATCCATCATACTGGATACATTTTTGGTATGTTTTAAGGCAACATTAAAGCACTATATTTTCTTCATGAACCATCAAGACAATGTATACAATTTCCACCCATCAATCAAGGCAGCCTTTGTCTCTAACATCAAAGGGGTTTTATTGAAGATGTTCTCTCTCCAGACACGTTTATTTATTTTTCTCTTTTGGCAGGTTGTGTGATGCTGATATAAGTAGGGAAAAGTGGTTGGTAAGAGAGGCACGGAGAATCCTAAAACCAAGAATAATAGCTAGCCATCTAAAATCTCTGGCCTACTTTCTGGAATTGGATAAAATGCAACTAGTGTGTTACTGATGCTCCAAACATGGAAGATGACTGCAACAAGAACTGTGTTCCTTATACATGTTGTTTGTTAAAAGCAGAGTTTAACACCAACAAAATGAGGTTATATTTTCGGTAAGCATGCTAATCAATTAGCCAGCTAAGCTAACATATCCAGTGCAAGTTATTTGGCAAATAAGTTTTAAAAGCTAATTTATTCTACATCAGACGGGTAGCCCCTCGTGATGGTGGCCATTTTGAGATCACATGACCTGCCGAATACTACTCAATTTATCTTGTTGACTCCTCTATTAGTGGACACTTTTGATGATTAAATAAATCACTGACAACAAGTCATTGTACAAAATGGCATCAGTGACAAAAAAAAAAAAGTTTTTGCAGAAACTTAAAATGCTTAATTTTGAGTTATGCATTACCTGTCAGCAGGACCACCAGGTCGGACGTGTGTGACCACCAAAGGACGAGATCTGTGCCAGTCCTCATGGGATCCACCTGTATTATAACACATACAAAATGCTGTAGTCTGTAGTTAAATCTGCAACCATTTGATTTTAGGAATATTGCAAAAACGAATCAAATAAAATGAGTGGCAACAAACCCAAACTCACCTCGCATAACAAAGCCGAAACTGTTGCCCTCTTTCTGCAAACAGATCTCGATTGTCTTGGAAATAACACCTGAGGTACTGTCTGGCGCTAAGAGGGACAACAGAGACAGGAGAGAGGCAATAGCATCTCTAAATCAGCACCTTTTACTGGGCGAATGGCCAGTTCTGGTGGACAATCAGATAAATAAACCCAGATGCAAACTGACATTCAGCAGAAGGTCAGCCAGAAACACTGAGGTTATAAAACAGACAATTTATCTGCCATGCACAAGATAGACTGGCTAACGATTGCAGTATATCACAACACATGCCAAACTGAGCCAATGAGAGACAATCACCTCAATCCATTATAATCAGAGTGTGGATGTGCAAATTTAAATCTTGATATATTAACTAGAGGTCAATAATATATATTTTTTCTTTTTTAATTGGTCAATGGCAATGTGATATCTAGAAATGGTTGGAAAATGTTCAACACATTTTGTAAAATGTATTCAAAAACAAACAAAAAAATGCTTATTATTCGTTTACAAGGTTTAAAATTTTGTATTATTTCATACAAGCTTTGAAGATTACCAGCCCGTAAACTGACAACAATCTCCAACTGACCAAACATCTGCCAATAATTCAGCCTGGGGTGAGTTTCCCAAAAGCACTGTTAGCCAACTTTGGTCAAAAGTGTGGTTGTTATCCATTATAGTTCCATAATTTTCTATTTCCCAAAATCATAGTTCTAACAAACAGTCGCGAAAAGCATTGCAAAGCTGTGTGGTTGGCAGCTCTTGACCTCTCTTAAAACATGTTTTTGGTTCAAAAAAGCAAATTACTTATGAGAACATGAAACACATCGCTGGGCAAAATATCCCTCCATCGCTGATATCGTGGTATTGCATTCATCAAAACTATTGCATGAGGTTTTTAAGGATCACATGTTGGTAAATTGGTCAAGCTAATGTTTCTATGTCCGCCACTCAAACCAAGAGTAATACTTTAACAACTTTGCAAAATAACCGACTGGCTTACTTATAGATGTCTCTGTTGAAATCTGAGAAAGTATTTTAACATACAAAAATGATTCACAGCAGCTTTCAACATGCAGCCATGCATTCTCCATTACTGTGTATAATTTTATATACACAAACTGAAGTGGACTTACTGACGCAAAGACATTTTCACGATGATATTCACTCATGAGGTCTGAGATCGGCTCAGACCGGGGTTACATTGACAGGAACATGCCACAAGACAGGCAAAAGTCAGAATACTCAACTTCCTACCAGGTGAAGGCAGTTCATACTCCACTTCCAGCACGACGCGCTCGCCTACGTTTTTTAGCAGACTGATGATCTCGTCGTGACGCAGCTTGGTCAGGTTGATCCCATTGACTGACTTGATGTAGTCGCCCACATTGAGCTGATCGCTCCTGAGACACATTGAAATGTAACTCAATCATGTAATTACTGAAATTAGAGTAATTAAACAGTTTATCTAATATCTAGCACACTATTTTTTGTTGAACAATGTAAAAGTTGGCTTTTCGAATGTTTAATGAAATTAGCTTTGTAAGCATTCAACATTTAATGTAGAGAAATTAACAAGATAACATATGAAGGTCCAGAAAAGATTTCCGTCAATGGTCAAAAACATAGAAAACATAATTATATTTTGAATGGAAAGTAAATGCAAAGTGAGAACTGCTTATCTGGTGTTGAACATCCCACAGGGAGTATAAATATGCTCATTTAGATGCTAATTAGACAAATGAATGCTATTCACTCCCTTTTGTCCTCTGGGCGTACATGAGCTAGCACAATGATGCCTGACAAAAATATGTCATCAGCCCAGATGTGCTCCATAACATCCTCATACCAGCCACAAGGAAAGAAGAAACAACTGAAGATGGGAAAACTTTCACATCACAGAAATGAGTTTAATCAAAAGTGAGTATGAGGAAAAAGAATCTGAAAAATTAAGGCTCACAACTTAGTGTACCTACGGGTTATATGTACTGTTGCATTCCAGAATGTCATAATGCAACAAAATGTGTTGCATTAAATAGCTGTTTCTACTGTAGGCAGTACAGCAAGGCAGTACAGCAAACTCTTGCTGAATCTTACCTGTTGATCTTGATCTTGCTTGCTAAAGCTAGTTAAATTGTTGTTATGTTCAGCTTATATCTAGCTATCCTGTTTAATAGCACAGTTTAATAGTTAATCCTGTTTAATAACACAAATACTTCAAGGTAATTCTATTGGCCACTTGAGCATTGATGCTTTGTTACTACCACAGTAGCAAAAAAACAGTAATGCTAATGCTAAGTAAGTAACATAACGCAACATATACGTGTTGCTACATTCGCAGAAATTATGGTGTGTGCACACCAAAAACAAATTTAATTATTTGAGTGAGTAGATTACATACAAATTCAATGCAAAGATGCAAATTTGTGCCAAGTGACACGAAAGACGTAAATTGTGTGACGTGTTCACCGCTAACGCATGCGATTTGTCTCAATAGTGTCTTCCACGCAAACTGAAAAATGTCAAATTGAGTAGAAAATTTGCATGATGTGTTGTCGCGCAAGCCAGTCAGCAAAGAGCTTATTGACACGTCCGGTTGTATCAGAAAATGGATTTTATTGTTTTTATTCGTGACAAGAAAAACATCCCCCAAGTAAACTAGAGCGAGTAACATGATGCAAAGTTGTCCACACATCGTTAGCATGGACGAAGTGTTTCTATGGTCAGTTTTCTCTTTCAGGTCAGCAACAGTAATAGCAGAAAGACAGTTTGAATCTTGCTAAGCATGTTAGCTATAACTAGTTAAATTATTGCAATGTTTAATTTAAAGTTAACTAATAGCATAAATACTTGAAGGTATATAAAATATTTATAAATAATTTAAGGTACAGTATATAAATAATTGAATTCTATCGACCACTTGAACGTTAAGGATTGTTACTACCACAGTAACACAAAATTTGTAATTTAACAAAACATTAAGTATGTAACATAACTCAACAAGTACACAATGCTACATCATTAGCATAAATTAGTTGCCTCTATGGTTAGTTTTCTCTAGGTCAGCGAGTGTAATGGCAGAACAACTGTTTAAATCACTTCCAGCCATAGATAAATCCCTTCTAGCCACAACCATATTTTATCTTATAGCTAGCTACCTTAATAGGTATCTTTAAGTATCACAACCCTTATGAAAATTAACCATGGTATTACTACAAATCAAACCAAAAAACATGGCTACTATAGTAAACCATGATAACCACAAATTAACCATGGTTTTGCTACACTAACCATGGTTTAACCATGGCATTTGTGGTAAAATTGTGGTTATACAAATGGTAATCAATACGCCAAAAAAACTAAGTTTCTACACTTTTACTATATTAAAACCATGGTTAATTTTCATAAGGGAGATATTTGAAAGTAATTCTATTGACAACAATTATTGAGGCTTGTAATTGCAACAGTAACACAAAAACAATAATGTGAAAAACTACGTTACTGCATTAGAGAGCGTTAGCATAAATTAGCTGCTTTTATGGCCAATTTTCTCTTTCAGGTCAGCTAATGTACTGTAATTGCAGAATAGCAGTCTGAATCTTGTTGGCGAAGTTAGCTGACCAAATTAACAATTCTGTTGACCACTTAAGTATTTAGGCTTGTTACTGCCACAGTAACTCAAAAATGCTAATGCTAAACACTAATGTTAAGTTTGCAACAAAAGTACGCATTGACACATTAGCGAGCATTAACAAAAACTGGCTCCTAAGGTCAGTTTTTTCTTTCAGGTCAAGTACGTCTCAGTTTGGCTTGGTGTTTTTCTGAGATGTCAGGTGACCACTTTGTCATTCTCTGATTGGCTGATACAGCTAATGAGTTATGAATTTGTGAGGTTACATTGATGAGTCCTCACCTAGCCGCCAGTCCACCCGGCCGCAGGTTGGAGACGCGTGGTTTGCCATCCTTGTCTGTTCCGCCCGAGATGGTGAGACCTAAAGTGCTTCCTTCCTTCTTAATCAGCTCAACCAGTGTAACCCCACGCAGTTCTTTAGGCCATAACACAACAGACACACACACACACACACACAAGAGACAGAAGTCGGCAGCATGTTATTATGACACTCACCCTCCATCACTCAGATGGTCTCAGATATTATTTTGGATATACAAATGAGCTGCACTTACTCCCATCTAACTAAAGATGAGAAATTTTACGAATTCTCTATAATACGAAAGCTGAAGATTGTTTTTAAATGCTACACCACATCTAATCTTCAATTCATGCTGTGATTATATGAATTCTTAAACATAAAATCCAAACCAAGAGGCACATGAAAGAAAACATCTATCACACACCAGTAGTGCAGCAGAAATTGTGATGCTACACTTCCTTCTGGAATCCAGCTGTGTCACGAAATCTCTCACAGAGTCTAATCTAATCATGCCAATGTCTGTGTGGGTTTAAATGTGAACAGCTTGGAACTAAAATGTTTTCCACAAGTAAAAATGTAATGGACCGAATGCACACAATCAGCTCTGTCTTTTCAAACTATTAAAATGATTCCCATAATATAAATTCTGAAAATGCCTTATTATCATATCATATCATATCATATCATATCATATCATATCATATCATATCATATATTAAAACAGAAACTCTTGTATGTTTGTTTATATAAATGCTCTGGCTAATTTAATTTAAAAATGGCTAAAAATGCAGATAACATCTTCACTTAATTTAAGTTTGGGGTAAGTCTTTTTTTAAAGAAAATTAATACTTTTATTCAGCAAGGATACATTAAATTGATAAAAAATTTATAATGTTTCAAAATATTTATATTTCAAATAAATGCTGTTATTTTAAAGTTTTTATCCATTTTATTTTAATATTTCACAATATTACTGTTTTTGTTTTACTGTATTTTTGAGGAAATGAATGAAGCTTTGGTGAGCATAAGAGATTACTTTCTACAAACTTTTGAATAAGTATAAGTTGTACTCATTTAGTATATAAATGAAATGTACATATACATATATACATACACATCACATATCAAAACACAAATATAAAGTTACAAATATGCACACAGCATTAGTTTTGTATTAAGAAGATTCATGTATCAAATAAGCTGCAGTAGGTTTCGTAAAAAAAAAAAAATAGTTTAATGAAATTAAAACACAAGCCAAATGTAAAATAACGTTTGAAAATGTCTGTTCTGCTTTAAGACGTCATTTTGAAACTTTTCCAAAGTCACACTTTGAGTTGACTCCGCTAATCCAATTAGTTTTAAAGAAGAAAGAGGTCTTGGATCAGCAAGCGCTTCCAGCAAGCAGAATAACTCAGACAGACACTTCTCGAGAACCGCAGGAAACATCTGGATAAAGCTTTAACAACACCCCTCAAACCCCCAGCGTTCTCCATCTCAAACAGCCATCCAAACCAATGTGGCAAAAAGAGCTCAAAAATCCCCAATGGGGAAAGACAGACATGATCCCCCAGATCAAAAGACGCTGAAGGAGCGGAGCTGGGAGGATTTGTGTGGGCACAAACAGACGGCATAGAAAGAGAGTCAGCGTACCTGGGATGCTTTGTCTTCTGGATGTGAGTGAGTTGTCTGGCCCCGTTGAGTCCTTGTTCCCCTTAGAGTACGGCCCATCATCTGCAGGACAAGAGAAACAATAAAAATAACTTAGAGAAAGCAGTCCACCCTAAACGCGACTGTGAAAAATGACGTCAGCTGTAGTCAATTTATGTGCTTGCATATAAAACACTATTGGTGAGTGAATCCCACAAAACCTGTCAAGAGTGTGCCTGGGTTATATTTCACACACACACACACACACACACACACACTTTTTTTTCTTGAAGGATGCTTATTTTTAGAACCATTATTTTTGCATTGTGAAAATCAATATTATACACATCTACACCCTATAATTTTGACTACATTAAGAGAAAAACACAACAATAACAATTTTAATAAACAAATAAATAATTACATTGTCATTGTAAAATATCATTTAAAAATGTAAAGTGTGTATATCATGTTAGTATTTTTTAACTGGCTTTAATATTTGCGAATTTCAATAAAAATTGCACCATGATACAAAAACTAAACAATTCACTAAAAATTACAATAAAAATGACTATTACTGTGAAATACTAATATAATGCAATTTAAATTAATAAGGAGAATGTGCTGATATATTTCATTATTATTATTATTATTATTATTATTATTATTAAAATGCCATAAAATAACATCTAAACTATAAATAAACTATAAATAAACTATTAAACTTACATGCAATGTAATAATAAAAAATATACAATATATAGCGTTACAGGGCAATACATTGTACATTGTATCAGATAGATAGATAGACGGACGGACGGATGGACAGACAGACAGACAGAGAGATGGATGGATGGATGGATGATGGATGGATGGATGGATGACGGATAGATAGATAGATAGATAGATAGATAGATAGATAGATAGATAGATAGATAGATAGATAGATAGATAGATAGATAGATAGATGGATGGATGGATGGATGGACGGATAGACGGATGGATGGATGACAGATAGATAGATGGATGGATGGACGGATAGACGGATGACGGATAGATAGAAAGATAGATAGATGGATGGATGGACGGATGGATGGATGACGGATAGATAGATAGATAGATAGATAGATAGATAGATAGATAGATAGATAGATAGATAGATAGATAGATAGATAGATAGATAGATAGATGGATGGATGGATGGTGGATAGATAGAAAGATAGATAGATAGATGGATGGATGGACGGATAGACGGATAGACAGATAGATAGATAGACAGACAGACGGACGGACGGACAGACAGACAGAGAGATGGATGGACAGAGAGATGGATGGATGGATGGATGGATGGATAGACGGATGGACGGATGGATGGATGACGGATAGATAGATAGATGGATGGATGGATGGATGGATGGATAGACGGATAGACAGATAGACAGATAGACAGATAGATAGATAGATAGATAGATAGATAGATAGATAGATAGATAGATAGATAGATAGATAGATAGATAGATGGACGGACGGACGGACGGACGGACGGACGGACGGACGGACGGACGGACGGATGGATGGATGGATAGCTAGATAGATAGCTAGATAGATAGATAGATAGATAGATAGATAGATAGATAGATAGATAGATAGATAGATAGATAGATAGATAGATCGATAGATAGATAGATAGATTATCATATATTAATCATAAAAACATAAAATATATTAGCACATTCCCCTTATTTATTTTGTATTATATTAGATATTTCTTTCTATCTCTATATATCATTAAATAATGAAAATATAGCAAAAACACATTTATTCATATTAAATAGATTGTATTACACTTCTATCACTGCTGTATTAGACAGATGAACGGTCTCTTTGAGTGCAGTGAGTATTAGCATCCAGAGACATGCTAATGTGGATTTGTCATCTATTGACAACAATAATCACAGAAACACAATCATTCTTTATAGAAAACATTTGTGTGACAAACGTCTTTCGGATTGTTTTCTGTCAAGCCGGATGCCTGAGTGCACATGCTTCATTTGGAGTGGATAAAATATTCATGAGCAGCATAGTTTTAATTTCTTCAAAGTTTCTACATAAATTAGAATTTTCCCCTTGTGCACTTGGCTCATCAGCACCAAGCGTCTCTGGAGCTTCCTTTTGCTTGACACAATTCACTTCATCTTTTCACGCCAGCAGGACAAACACTATTAATGTATTTAGCCAAAAGAAGGTAACACCTGTTGCTGCCATTGTTATGATACTATTAAGCTCATAAACTTTCGCTTGTGTTTCCTTTAAATAAAAGAAAAAATTATTTAAGGAATACTTCATCTAAAAATAAAACGTCTGCCCGTTTACTCTCTCTCATATGACAGTCCAAACCTGTATAACTTTACTTTTCTGTTTTATTTATAAGTGGGAGACATAATAGTTTAGTAATGTAGAGTTATTTACAGTGTGCAGGGAACAGCAATGCAAAAATTATGATATGAAAAAAAAACATACAATCAATTAACTTTTAATATCAATATATTTCAGACATTACAAAGAATGAATATCTGAATTTATGATTTATAAAAATGTTTTAACCACTATTTTTGACTGCCCCTCCCCCACACATGTGGGATGTTTGTGATTACACATTTTTTTAACGATAATATCTTTGTCTAAACCTAAAGTAATCTTGACAAACTATGTATCATTTGAAAGGATTCAGACTCTAGTTTTCATATTAGGTGACTGTTTTTCAAAGAAATGACAGAGCTATAGATAAATAGCGATAGATTCTGTTTTAGAGATTGAATTCAAATGAAATATTAAAGTTGCTGCCCAAACTATTTCTGAACAGGATGTCTACTTCATAAATATTTTAAAAAATATGGAAATATATGGTTCAGAACACTTAAACAATAAATGGAAATCAAGAGTCCCTGTATATCATCTAGTGAAAAAGTTTAGTACTGCATCCACAAAATCTTACTTAAAGGGCACCTATTATGCCCCTATATTACAATATGTAATATAATTCTCAGGTGTCCCCAGAATGTGTCTGTGAAGTTTCAGCTCAAAATACTCCACAGACCATTTATTATATAATTTTGAAAATGCCTAATTTGAGTGGAAGCAGAAACACGCAGTTTTTCGTGTCTGTCTCTTTAAATGCAAATGAGCTGCTGCTCCCCGCCCCCTTTTCCAGAATAAAGCTGTGCCATTACAGCTCGGACCTGCTAAAAAAAAACATGTTTTGGTTCTGATTATCATGTGTATCGCGCTGAAATCATGTGTTTTAAACCATATTAGTTTAAACTTCTGATAGACAGTTTTCTGAGCGCAAACATCCATCGCACGCATATAGAAAGTGGCTGCACACGGCACGTGAGTAACTAAGTTCTCTTTCACACACGAGTTTATGTTAAAAACACGCACAAGTTTCAAAAACACAGTCGGTTATGTTTGTGAAGGTAAACATCTGGGAAAGAAATCACATGTTTATATTAGATCAGATCTGTGTATTAAGTGACATCAGCATAATATACAGTACCTATACTGCTGTCTATGCTATTAATATGACCCAACGAATAAAATAAAAGCAGTGAATCACTTACTGCTCTGTACTGAATAACGTCTATAGCCTTAATAAGAAGACAATTCTTACTTGAATGCTGCTTTTAAATGCTCTAGCGTGACGATTGATTAGCACAATAGTATAATGCTTTTATGGGTTTCTGATGATTTTAACATGATTAGCATAATACTATAATGCTTTTATGGGTTTCCGATGAGATTTTATCATGATTAGCACAATACTAAAATGCTTTTATGGGTTTCTGATGAGATTTTAGCATGATTAGCACAATATTATACTGCTTTTATGGGTTTCTGATGATATTTTAGCATGACGAACACATTACTATACCGTTTTTATGGGTTTCCGATGAGATTTTAGCATGAGTAGCACAATACTATAATGCTTTTATGGGTTTCTGATGAGATTTTAGCATGATTAGCACAATACTATAATGCTTTTATGGGGTTCTGATGAAATTTTAGCATGATTAGCACAATACTATACTGCTTTTATGGGTTTCTGATGAAATTTTAGCATGATTAGCACAATACTATACTGCTTTTATGGGTTTCTGATGATATTTTAGCATGACGAACACATTACTATACCGTTTTTATGGGTTTCCGATGAGATTTTAGCATGAGTAGCACAATACTATAATGCTTTTATGGGTTTCTGATGAGATTTTAGCATTATTAGCACAATACTATAATGCTTTTATGGGTTTCTGATGAAATTTTAATATGATTAGCACAATAATATACTGCTTTTATGTGTTTCTGATGAAATTTAGCATGATTAGCACAATAATATAATGCTTTTATGGGTTTCTGATGATTTTAGCATGATTAGCACAATATTATAATGCTTTTATGGGTTTCTGATGAAATTTTAGCATGATTAGCACAATA